AAAACAAAACAAAACCAGGAAACTAAGAGGATATTGAACCATTAAGGAATGGCTTAATATGCTCCGATACAGAAACGTGATGGCATACTATTTTGATGGGGGAAAAAAGCAGGAAAGAGATGATTTCAAAGAGACATGGAAAAATTTGTATAAACTGACAAAAGAGTAGTGAGCAGAACCAGGGAACCAATTTATATTCTAACATTAATATTATACAAATGAACAATTTCAAGGACTTTTGAAAAGTGATAAAAATTTATACAGCAACAACAACATTATAAAAATAAACAACTTTGAAAGCATTAAGAATCATGACCAAGCAATATGATGACCAGTCATGATTCCAGACCGATGATGAAACACACCAGAGAAGTGACAGACTTAGGGGCAGGATGAGACGTGCGTGTGCTTTTGTATATAGTCATCAAAAGAATTTGATTTGTTTGATGATTCATATTGATTTCAAGAAATTTTCTTTTCTTTCTTTTTTTTCCCAAATGGGAGAGGAGGAGAGAAAATGGATTTCAGTTAATTTTTAAAAAACAAAGAAATGGGGAAGAGGTCCTACAGGTGTGAAATGTCACATGCACTTTCAGATGAGGTCACTGCATAATTGATTTTACCTGTTTCACTTTGTTATAAGAATAAACATTTATAATGTAAAAATAAAACATCAGTAAAACTTTTAACAAAAGGAAATAAATAGCTGTCCCTTACCTGATTGCTACTGTACAGGAATACCTTTCTACTCCTTGCTTTGAGGAGAATCAAGGAATGGGCTAAACCTAAGCTATAAGTAAATCTTCACTGGGATGTTGGTGTGGGGGACCCAAAAGTATAAGAAAAAGACCCCAACCCTTTGCTGAGGTTGTCAGACTCCCCCGGGACCAATATTGGTTACCCTGTGCATGGATCTAGAGAAGAAAGCTCTTCATCGGAGAGGGCATGGTACCTCAGCCCTCTGGACCAAACAGGTTTTAATGGTTAGATAATTATAACATAATTCATGTCAGAATGTAATGTGCCCTTAGAAAAAAGGGGCTAATCCAAGGGGCGTGAGAGATTCCAATCAGCAAGAATCACTTCTAATGGGGAAGATGGGGAGGAATCAGGGACAGATTCATGGAGGAGGATTCACATAGGAGCTGAGCCCTCAAGGAAGAAAAGGATTCTAAGAGATGGTGAGAAGGGCAGTTGAAAGGGACGCCTGTACAAATTGTAGGCCAGATGGAAATGCCAGGAGAAGAAGAGGGACTAGCTTGTGCCCAACATGGCTGGACTTTGAGGGCATGGCAGGGAGAAATGGAAAGCAAGGTTGGAAAGGAAGGCTGTGGCCTGACTATCGAGGGCCCAGGGGAAGCAATGTACCCATAGGGCCTGCAGGCGCTGCTTCTGGCTGGGAGAGGGATGAGCACACGTTTCTTCATTTCCACAGCTGGCGACAAGGAGCTGTCTGGTTCCAACCCCTGCATCTCTGCCTCCTTCCCATCCTACCCCAAGCTGGCTGTTTGCTTGTTTACCCTCTCATCTTGTAATTATTGTGCCTCCAAATTAGAAGGGGGATTAACTAATTACAGACTTGTCAGGCTCCTTTGGAAGTGAGAACTGTTCATCCCTAAAAAGGGTGCTCAGCAGGATCATGAGGATGGGGGGCCATGCCTCCAAGAAGGTCAGTCTCTGAGCTCACTGGCTCCACACAGCTCTAGGACACCTCGCTATCCACAGGGACTTGGTCCCCACACCCTCTGATCCCTCCTCCACAATCTGCTGGGAGAATCATCCTTCTGAAGAGATCCTGGAATCCCAGAAGCTCAGGGTTGGAAAGCACTTTGGGGAAGGATTCCTATAGGATCTAGAGCCGGGAAAATGGCAGCTATTGGGAGGGAGCACCCAAAGAGCAGAAGAAAAGATGTATGCAGAGAGGATATGGATGACTGAGTTCAGAGGAACATCCATGTTGTGAAGCAGGGTACCACAAAACAGGACTGGAAAGGTGGGCAGCTCTTGAGAGCCTTAAATGCCAGGCCAAGCTATCTGCATTTGACCTCTAGAAAATGGGGAGCCACTGATGAGTCGTGATCAGCTTTGGAATAAAGGAGCTTTTTTCTTTTCTAATGGATACATAGCAAGTTTCAGGAAAATACAATGAATCCATTGAGGATGGGCGACTGGTCACTTGTTGAGCTTAACACGAACAGACGTCAGTGCTTCAAGGATGTGATTCTGTTTATGTGGGCACCGCCTTTGTTAACACAAGGCTACAGCCCCTCTACATCTTAGTAGGTGGTCTTCAAGAATTTCTGTGATTAAATTTTTAAAACTCTAGTAACAAAACCTTCAAGAACCCAGGGTGACCTCCATGATACAATGAGGGGCTTTTGTAGACGTAAAAATAGAAATATTGTGTGGATTACATGTAATTTATAGTCAAGAATTCAATGAATTCCATTCATTAATATGGGAACTATTATATATAGGTCAAAGAACAGAAGTTTCAAAGACATTGGAAAGTTCTGGAAAATGAACATGTGTTTAAGTTGTGAGAAGCAATTAAGGCGATGCGTGTAAAGTGGGTTCACAAACCTTGATGCATAATATAAATATCAGTAGGTTCATTATAGTTGTATTGTAACTTAAGCAATAAATGTTCTAATTTCTCTCATTAAACAAAAATTGTGATCAGGAGAGTGGCATGGTCCAACCTGTGCCTTGGGAAGGTGCTTCATGGCTGAATGAGTGGATGTGAGGGTCTCAGAGGCAGCCCTGATGGAGCCCTTCGACAGGGGCGCTACACAGAAGGGGGAAAGTCAATACATGACCCTCTGGTGGACTCGCTGAAGCCACGGCTGTGGGTCAGCTTCCCTGGGAGCAGCAAGATGACCCCCGGATAAACCAGCATGATACAGACGCCTCTGCTGGGGGTTCTGATCATTCCCAGCCATGCACAGCAGTTATCACCACAAGCAGTATCTCTGGGTGTATATGGCATGGGACCATTGCATATATGAATGGAACTCGGCCCTTGTCTGCACTCTCAGACCCTACCTTCGTTCTGTGTTCCCTGTCTCTCTCTGTCTCTGTCTCTCAGATATTAATGGCACTCTGCCATTGTAGGAACTCTCATAGGAGCTGCCTCTATTTTGTTTTCTGTTTCTCCCTCATGTATGAGCATGTGTTTGTGCCTCTCTCTTCTTCTAGAGCATGTCTCTGCCATTGGTCCGAGGGAAACAGACCTCTCGATCTGTGTCCCAGGGAGAAAGGGGACTCCCAGCAGGACCAGTGCTCAGGGTGCCAGGTTCATGTCCCGGGGCAACGGTCACTGATGAGAAGCAGCTCCAGACTGGTCTAGTCTGCACACATGAAGGCACAGCTCAGAACCCTGCCTCTTCCTGTGAGTGAGAATCTTCAGGATGAGAAAGCTGCTGTATACACCTTGACAATGCTGTTTATTAGACAGATATAAACTTTTTCTGCAGACCAGTAGTTCTTTATGCTACTCTATCACAATAAGCTATTTCCCACCCCATCGCTAGCATTTAACGACATGGCTCTTTAGGTCCCTTGGCATGGGTTGGGACAACAAAGGATAGGAATCTCACGACTGATATCCACAAGTGAGCCTGCAGACGCACCGACAATATCGGAGTCCCACAGGCCAACCAAAGACAATAATTAAGAGCACAGAAAATATTGTTGGGGACCCTGATGTCGCTGACCTTGATACGCAATCGCATTACCCAGACCTTATGTGTTCTCTGTACCTAAGACCTCAGGGAGCGCAAAGCACAGTGTGATGGATAAGACATTTCCTAGGTATACCCAACACAAGGGAATTTGGTCCCGTTAGAAAAAGCTACCCAAGTAACAAGACGTCTCCACCCCAAACTCCAGACTACGAATCTTAGGTAAATCAAAATACCATTTGGCTCTCTCTCTCTTCTCTCTCTCTCTCTCTCTCTCTCTCTCTCTCTCTCTCTCTCTCTCTCTCTCTGTCTCTCTCTGTCTCTCTCTCTCTCTGTCTCTGTCTCTGTCTCTCCCTCCCTCCCTTCCTCCCTCCCTCCTTCTCTCTCTCTCTCTCTCTCTCTCTCTCTCTCTCTCTCTCTCTCTCTCTCTCTCTCTCTCTTCCCCTCTCTGTCTCCCTCTCTTCCTCTCTCTCTCTCCCTCTCTCTCTCTCTCTGTCTCTCTTCCCCTCTTTGTCTCTGTCTCTGTCTCTCCCTCTCTTCCTCTCTCTCTGTCTCTCTCTCCCTCTCCCCCTCTCTCTTTCTCTCTCTGTCTCTCTGTCTCTCTCTGTCTCTCTGTCTCTCTCTGTCTCTCTCTCTCTGTCTCCCTCTCTTCCTCTCTCTCTCTCCCTCTCTCTCTGTCTCTTCTTCCCCTCTTTGTCTCTGTCTTTGTCTCTCCCTCTCTTCCTCTCTCTCTGTCTCTCTCTCCCTCTCCCCCTCTCTCTTTCTCTCTCTGTCTCTCTGTCTCTCTCTGTCTCTCTGTCTCTCTGTCTCTCTGTCTCTCTCTGTCTCTCTCTCTGTATCCCTCTCTCTCTCTCTCTCTCTCTCTCTCTCTCTCTTCTCTCTCTCTCTCTCTCTCTCTCTCTCCTCTCTCTCTCTCTGTCTGTCTGTTTCTGTCTCTCCCTCTCTCTCTCTCTCTCTCCGTCTCCCTCTCTCTCTCTCTCTCTCTCTGTCTGTCTCTGTCTCTGTCTCTCTGTCTCTCTCTCTCTCTCTCTCTCTCTCTCTCTCTCTCTCTCTCTCTCTCTCTCTCTCTCTCTCTCTCCCCCCCCCCCGCTCCTCTCCCTTTCTCTCTCCCAGCTTTCTCAAGGAACCATCACCATAACTGCAGCGGAGTAGATTATTCTAGATCACACACCCACACAGAGGTTCATGACCCCTCTGCTTCTCTTGGCCATCTGCAGGCCACCTCAGAGTAGACGAAAGGCCAGTGCCCTTCTCAAGGTTGCTGGCAGTGACCGCTGCCTTCCTGCCCTTGCAGTCCAGCCGCCCTGGGAGACTCACCACACTTAATCCCAGCTGCTCCCGGAAGAAGTAGTCCATGTCTCTTTTCTGCAGGCTGTCGAGATAGTGCTGGAATCGCGTGTACGTGTACGGGTAGCAGTACGCAAACTGATAAATGTCATCTTCCCGGTCAAAGCAGAAAGCAAAGGACATCACGTAGTTCTTGCGATGGTCTGGGCAGCGGTAATAGTACACATTTTTCGGAGGCAGTCGTTGCCTGAAAGTAACAAAACAAGAAGTATGAGAATATCCAATTCTCGTTCAGGCTGAGCAGCGAGGAAAATGACACGGAGGGCCTGGGCTCAGAAAACCGTTCATGGAGCAGCCAGGGAAAGATGGAGGCATAGCTCATCAGAACAAAGCAAGGCTTGGGATGTCAGAGCTGGAGGGGACCCAGGGCATGGAATATCGAGTGGAGAGAGACCTTGGCAGAGACAGCACAGAGTGCCAGAGCTGGGAGGCCCTTTACAACATACAAGGGGAAAGGGCAGAACCACGAAGGGCTTTAGAATCGAGAACAGGGAATGTCAGAGGTGGATAGGGCCTAGAACACACAGCCCATGATGTTTGAGGGAGGGACTGAGACAGAGCAGACTCCAACCTGGGGAGTCATTCCACAAGGGACCCACAAATCCACACACACCAAACACTCCGTTTGATCATTATTTAGCTCTAACAAAACATTCAGCTTGACTCGGTGTAAAACATAAGCAAGCGTACCTTAGGGGAATCAAATGAATGATGCGTCTTGTACACACACAGATATGTGACACGTGTGTGTTACTTTTTTCACTTGTGTATAGATGCCATTTTCGATGAGTAAAATTCAAACTCATTCAAAAGCATTTGCCAGTTCAGACTAGCCTCGTACCGTTATGCTGTCAGAGAAGTCACTTTCACGTAAGAGTCCAAGGAATTATTTGACACTACAAAGGAATACTCAGAACTGAAAAGGTTGGAAACTGCTGCATGGATTTGGGACTGAGAAGCCGGGCCATTGAGCAAGTCTCATGGGATGTCAAAGCTGGAACGGGCCTTAACAGCTGCCACAACCCAAAGAAGAGAGAGCACTCCCAAGGTTGGCTGGAAGGCTGGGAAAGCCCGGTGCATGTATCACCTCATGCAACCTTCTCAACAACCCTGGGACACAAGTGCTGCTATCATCACCATTTTACAGCTAAGGAAACTGAGGCTGAAAGAGCGTGCCCAGCATCACACAGCTAGGGACACAGCGTCACGCGTCTGAGGCAGGGATCTGAGCTCCCCCGCCCACACTCTGCCCAGAACACAGACCACGAAATGTCAGAGCTCGGACGGACTCCAGAACTAGAACAGAGGATGTTGGAGCTAGGTGAACCCTCCACCACTCAATGGCAGGGCCAATGGGGATCCTAGAACACAGAATATGGAATGGCAAAGCCAGAAGCGACCTCAGAACTTAGAAGGAAGAAAGAGCCCCTGCTTCAAGGGAGATGATAGGGCAGGAAAGGAAGAAGGCGACCTCAACACTGGGTGCCATCCTCTGGAAACTATGAGTGAGAGAATGAAAAAGCATTTATTGAGCTCTTACCAAGTGCCATGGACTCTGTCCAGCGCTGGGGATACAAACAGAAACAATGTGGGCTGTTCTGGTGGAATGGTGAAATCATGGATCCATCCCACACATCTCCACCCTACCCCCCAATCCCACGTAACCCTCCCTAGATGGGGAGCTCTGTGGAGCCCATGAGGGTAGGGACCAGACCTTGCTTTTTTAAACATTTTAAAACATTTTTATTTAAAGTTTCAAGTTCCAAATTCTATACCTCCCTCCCTCCCTCCCTCCCTTCTCCTCTCCCTGAGACGGTAGGCAGATATAGGTCATACATGTGCAATTGTGTAAAACATTTACATATTAGTCATTTTGTACAAGAAGACTCAATAAAAGAAAAAAAATGAAAGACAGAAAGTGAAAAATAGCATATTTCAGTCTGCATTTAATCAATATCAGTTCTTTCTCTGTATTGTCTTGGATCATTTTATTGCCCAGAATAGCTAAGTCATTCACAATTCTTCATGAACAATACTGCTGTCACTGTGTACAACGTTCTCCTGGTTCTGTTCCCTTCACTATCCATCAGTTCATGTAAGTCTTTCCAGGTTTTTCTAAAATCAGCCTGCTCATCATTTCTTTCTTTTTTCTTTTAGGCAATTGGGGTTAAATGACTTGCCCAGGGCCACATAGCTAGTAAGTGTCAAGTGTTTGGTCTGAGGCTGCATTTGAACTCAGGTCTTCCTGAGGTCAGGGCCAGTGCTCTATCCGCTGTGCCACCTAGCTGCCCCCTCATCATTTCTTATAGCACAATTAATATGCCATCATAATCATATACCACAACTTGTTCAGCCATTCCCCAGTTAATGGGCATCCCCTCAATTTCCAAAATTTCTTAGCCACCACAAAAAGAGCTGCTATAAATATTTTTGTACGAATAGGTCCTTTTCCCTTTTTTTGTATGTTTTTGGGATACAGATCTAGCAGTGGTATTACTAGGTCAAAGGGTATGCACATCTTCATAGCCCTTTGGGCATTGTTCCAAATTGTTCTCCAGGATGGTTGGATCAGTTCACAACTCCACCAGCATTGCATTAGTGCCCCAGTTTTCTCACATCCCCTCTAATATCCAACACTTTCTGCTTCTGTCATGTTGGTCAATCTGATAGGTATGAGGTGGTACCTTAGACTTGCTTTAATTTGCATTTCTCTGATCAACAGTGATTTAGAGCATTTTTTCATATGACCATAAATAGCTTTGATTTCTTTGTCTCAAAACTGCCTGTTCCTATCCTTTGACCATTTATCAGATGGGGAATGACTTGCTTTCTTATAAATTTGACCCGGCCTTGCTCATCTTTACTTCCCTCAAGGAGCCCTCTGGGTTCCGAACACAGCAGCTGGTGAACGATGGGCTTCATAATCACTGTGAAGAGACTTCCCCAGCCTCTTGCCCCTGCCCTTGGGTGCTGCCCGTTGCGGTCACCCAGGCCCAACACCGTGGCTGAGCTGTTCTCCTCCTGCCCTTTTGTGTGGCTATAAAGCTTGTTGACTGCTCTCCCCGTGGGAGCTGTTGCCCTTTACCTCGACATGCTGGAAATAGGCTAGCTCAAACCGGTCATTACCACCTGTGTGACCTTGAGGAAGTCACTTGACTTTCTGTAAAAAGAAGGTAAGAGGCAGTGTGGCCCCAGAGTCAGGAACACCTGGGTTCCAATCTTGCCTCTGACTTATGCTGGCTACATGACCCTGAGCAAACCAACCTTAATGTTAGCATAAGTTCTCAGTGGCCTGGCAGCTCCCTGAGGCTGTAAGTTGTAGAGAAGGTGCTTACTGGCTCTGGAAGAGGGGTTTCATCATCCACGAGTTCCCCTCACCAATGAAATTGCAAGTCCAGCCCTTGTCCCTTACCCCTTCATCGGGGGAAGATAACCTTCCTGCCTCACTGGGTTGCTGAGAAAAGTGAGTTACTATTAATGGGTTGGTACCACCTTGGAGGGAGGTCTCTAGTAGGATGCCTCAGAATGTTCAGGGCAATCTTTTTCTCAATGTCCCAGATAAAGAAAGAGAGCTTGCTTATTTAATTTGCAAATTGTCATCCCGGCCCTTGACTTTGAGCCCAAAAAGGTAAGTCGAGGCTTCAAGGAAAGACAAGCTCCCTACAAAGCTGAACCGCCCAAAAGGGGAAGGGGCTGCCTTGGGGGCGTGGGGAGAGGCCTGCAAGCAGAGAGATTTGGGGATGGTCCGCTGGAGGCGCAGCAGAGAAGCGGAGCCTCGCGTCCTTTTGGAGCAGGTGCCTCTGGGGTCCCGACCAGCTCCGAGATTCTGAAATTCCATCTCCTGAGCCCCAGGAGGGTCCTTCAACTAGAAAGTTTTCCAATAAGCCAAAAAGAGGATGCCCATTATAAAAACAAGAATAACAACAGCTACATGTATACAGAGCTTTAGGGTTTGCAAAGAGCTTTGTAAATACTATCTCCTTTGCTCCACACAATAGCCTTGTGAGGCATGTGCTGTTATTATCCCCATTTTACAGATGAGGAAACTGAGGCCGAGAGAGGTTAATTCACTTGCCCAGGGTCACACGGCTAATAAGCATTTGTGGCTGAATTTGAATTCAGATCTTCTTGACTGCAAGACCAGGGCTTTATCCACTGTACCTGTAGAATGTCAGAGCTTGTAAAGAACGGAATACAGATCCAAAACGAATACTTTTTCTGCTCAGAAGAAAACACATCTTTTCCCTCATTCCCCTAAACCTGAGGATTAAGGAAGACGGTAGCGGCAAGATGCTGCTTAGGGCACCTTGGCAAAGGTCACTTACATGTGTCAATCACCAGCTGCTCTTGGCTGAGTCCATCAAATTATTTACATAATCATAACCCCCCCCCCTTGCTGTTCCATGTCAGCTGTCTTTAGCTTGGATGTGTGCACAGGGAGAATTTCTATCTTCAACAAACCCTCTGGATTTTGGTTTAAAACTGATGGAGCAGCCGTGGCAGGGAAGCTAGTGTCTGACAGGGCCAGGAAGCAGGGAATCACAGACCCTCGGGGCTGGAAGGCTGTCGGAGGCATCAGCCCAACCTGTATCTGAATAAGGATCCCCTTGGCCAATCCTCCGTCTCGGGGCACCCTAGCCTCTGCTGGAAGGTCTCCAGGGAGCCCACTACCTCGTGAGGAGTCCATTTCACTTTTGGACAACACTCCTTGTGAAGCAGATATTTTCCCCATTCATTTTGAGCTTTTCTGGAACTTCCACCCAGGGCTTAACATGTTGTGTTTTGGGGCCAAATGGGAAAAAATAGCATCTAAGCCCTCTCCTTATGACAGCCTTTCAAATTCTTTGGGAAGGCTAGCACATGCCCCTGAGTGGCTAAACATGCCCAGTTCCTCCAAATGATCCTCATGTGTCATGAACACAGCCCCTTCCCATCGTGGTTGCCCGCCCTGGAAGCCCTCCTGTGGCACTCAGACCTAGAACTGGCCAGACCAGGGCACAAGACAGCAGGCTTTTTCACCTCCTCCTTTCTGGATGCGAAGTCTCTCTTCACGCAGCCCAAGTCCTCATTAGTCTTCTTGGCTGCCCCATCACACTACTGACTCACGCTGCGCTGCTGTCTACTCAAACCCCCAGAATCTTTCAGGCAAACTGCTGCTTAACTGTGCCTCCCCCAACTTGTACTTGT